TCCTGTGCTACGAGGGCCTCAATGAAGGATCCTGTGCTACGACGGCCTTAAAGAAGGCTCCTGTGCTACGAGGGCCTTAATGAAGGATCCTGTGCTACGAGGGCCTTAAAGAAGGATCCTGTGCTATGAGGGCCTCAAAGAGTGGGAAAAGTAGTAGTAGTAGTAGTAGTAGTAGCCTTCCCCCCCTCGAATTGGGAAAAGTAGTAGTAGTCGTGGCCACCCCCCCCTCCCTGTGCTATGAGGGCCTTGAAGAAGGATCCTGTGCTACGAGGACCTCAAAGAAGGTTCCTGTGCTGCGAGGGCCTTAAAGAAGGATCCTGTTGTGCTACGAGGACCTTAAAGAAGGATCCTGTGCTACGAGGGCCTTAAAGAAGGATCCTATGCAACGAGGAAATAGTAGTAGTCGTGGCCACCCCCCGGGCCTTGAAGAAGGATCCTGTGCTACGAGGACCTCAAAAGGATCCTGTTGTGCTATGAGGTCCTGAAAGAAGGATCCTGTGCTACGAGGGCCTTAAAGAAGGATCCTTTGCTACGAGGAAATAGTAGTAGTCGTAGGCCCCCCCCCCCCCCCCCAGAAGAAGAGACGTGGGCGCCGCCCCCCCCCCCCCCCCCCCCGGCCCTGGGCGGGAAGGTAGGGGCCCCCCCCCCCCGCTTTGAAAATTAGGACACCCTTCGGGGGCGGCCTCGTTTCTCCCCAGGGCGTACTCGTGGGCGGCGAGCCAAGCACAGCTTCTTCGAATGCTCGGCCCAGGCTGGTCCAGCGTCCTTTACTTGGGAAGTCTTGGAGGACCTACCATGGTCTTGGACCAGGCGAGGTATTTTTTGGGCCAAAGTTGAGAAGTCAAGCCTGCAAAATTCATTTCCGTCTTCCTCAAGTTCCTGATATTTCACTGGCCTGCCGGTGCACATGCGGACGTGGCTCCAATTCAGAGGACCCGTGGAACCCGAAGATCCGCCGCCCCGGAGCTCCGCTCCGTCCGCAGGTCCGTTCTGGGACGCCCGGATGCGCAGGTCGGCTCGGAACGGGCAGTTCGGGCTGGCGCAGGTCATGGAGATGGAGAAGAATCATCCAGCGATCCCTTCACGGGGCTGGATATCGAGCTGTTCATCGAATCGGTGGCTGGCGTTTGGGGGAGACTCTTGGATTGCGAGCGAGGCGGAGCAGCAAAATCAAGAAGTTCCTAGCCAGCCGGTGGGCAACCTTCAAACAACTTGAACATACTTTAACCATTTTTAACCTCTATAAATTATATGGGAGTTTGTTAATGAATTACTGTGTATCATTGGTTTCGCCACGGAACAAGAACAGGTGGGAGATGAATTTGCTTTTCACTTGCTCACCCATGGCCTCAACTGTGCCGACGTCGTGCTCACTGCTTCGAGGATCTCAGACATGGAGCAGTATCATTCGGCCTGAAAGAGCCAGAGCCGCACGCGCCACGCAACGTGATCCTCTTCAATTACTGGATCCCCGCTGGCACCAAGCCCCTTTTGGATTGTCACCGACGGGCCCACAGGCCAACATGGCTTGCTGGGCCAGGCACCCTTGTAAGCGATAGAGGAACATGAAAGGAACATTTTGCAGCAGGATTTTTTGGGTGATGGAGTGCACCCAGACTTGGAGCACCTTGTGATCTTGTTTGCGTGCGTTCGCCTTTGTTTGCCAATCATCCAAGGAAGGGCCTTCGACCAGCACCTCCTAGTTGTGCAGAGCCATGCTTTCAGGAGTTGCATGTTTGTTAGCACCGCAGATGCGGGAATCCCGATGATTTCAGTTAACTCCAGCGGAAAGACCAAATCAAATGACCCCGACGGTTTCTTTCGACTGCAGATCAATGCAGTTGCCCATTCAACTCCGAGAGTCCCGTCCTACAGTGTCTACAGGTTGTTGTTTTTCTGGTGGAGGACTATTTGCCGCTGTGCAGCACATCGCCGGCGTCTGCGCACCTCCTCTCTGAGCCGGAAATCGCACGTTTGTTGGAAGAGGGCCTTGGGCCAAAGGCAGTGGCACCTCAGCAGAAGGTGCTGTGTAGTCATGTCGTGCAGTCTGTTGATATTGTACGGGGATGTTCTGGTGCAGTCGACTGCACACTCCGCAAATGCTCAGGAAGTTCAAGCAAAGGATGTCGTGCAGGCTGAGGACCAGATGATGATGACTTTGCTTGCATCCTACGCACTGGCACTCATCATCAAAAATCCACTAATTGGCATCTATGAGACTGTGCCGGAACATGCACGCATGTTTTCAAGAGGTTTCGTCACATGGTTTCAGTCCAACTTGGCAAGCAGCGCGGTTTTGTGTCAGAGAGATTCTAGATGTGCATCCTTCACCCACTCGAAAAGTCAAACCTTTTCGATCTGATTGCAGCGTTGGTGGCACGACTTGGGCCTTGGTCGACTGATTTGTCATATAGGACATGCCTCAGTGCGTTCCAGTCGAAGACCTTCCCTTCAACCTGCCCTTGCCACCGCAGAAGGCGTGTTGGTCGGAGGGTCTTGAAGCTGAGGCCGAGAGTCTGTGATTTTCGGAAAACAAGCTTGTTGATGACAGAAGATGACAGAAGGCTGGAAGGTTCCAGGTATAATACAAAATTATGTTCGCTTCTGACTCGAACACTAGCGCTGTACCTTGAGCACTTGTTCATGTTTAGGAGCTTTCAATGGGATCTGGCGACGGATTTCTCGCTTTGCAATGGAACAAAGCTGCAGACGGATATCTTAGGAATAATTTCCTCAAAAAATGAAGATATGAAGATATATATGCCAATAAATATATTGATGATCTATTGCAAAATCAATAATATAATATAGTATAAATACAATAGAATTAATATGTTCCGATAGAATATGTATATAAATATGTTTCTCTCTATATATATATATACCTGAGGAATATTGATGAATAGTATATCCCTGTGCAAATTTCCTCTAAAAAATTAGACAACCCGGGTTGTCATAAAAAAAACAAAATCGGATGAACATATACAATGCCAGTCTACAACTGGAACCTGGGGGTTCCCATTTTCTATCAGGCCATGAGAGGGTTGATTTATTAGAGACTTTGGTTGTCGAGCGTTAGCTCGAGAATGGGGTGGATTTTTTTAGAGAAAAGAATTTTTGCAAAGCCAGATTTGCAAATCCTAGCATGGGCTTAACACACAGATGCAGAGACCATACCAGGATCATCTATAAATGGTATTAGGATGTATCAGGACATATCAGGATTATATAAATTTCCAATAATTTGCAAGTTTTTTGTCTAACCGCATTTGGATTCACAGTGAAGCTGAAGATCAATAACGATGATGATAATTGATAATCTGATAATCTATAATAGTCTATTAAGAAATACATGCATGAGTTGACTTTGTTCGACTCGAACTCGGATTGTCAATTCTTTAGGCCTTTTTGAGCTTTTCTTTCGAGTCTCCAACTCTTTAGCAGATGCAATCTGGCTATTGATTCTTTAGAGAATGTTTTTGATTTTTTAGTGCAACTTTTGGATATTGAACCTGGGGGCTCCTAAAGAATTGACAGTCCGGGTGTAAGTGCGAATTGGAAGGGGGATAAGGATATACTTAATTTTATTCGATTATATATGATGTGATGATTTTATTGGTTATTGTGGAATTTGTCTAAATTAATATATATATATGTGTTTTCCTTTTTTGATTTAATTATGAAAGGTATATTATAGTTTGTTTTGATTATCTTTAGCAATTATATATTGGGGGGTGGTAATTTTTTCGTGTTTGATTTCGATGGTTTAGATAATGGTTTTAATTGTGTTTTATTCGATTTTATTTTGTGTCGCGGAGAATTTGGTAGTGATTTGGCGTATATATTGGGATTTTTTATAATTGGGGATTTATTGTATTTCTCTAGATAGCGAAGTTCTGTGATTTTTTAAAGTAATAATGAATTGCCCGTGCGCGTTTTCGAGACGGGTTATTGGTGTTGGGGGTTGGTGTGAGCTGGTTGTGCACGTGGAGGAGACAGGTTGCATGTTTTTGCTATCTGGGGTCTATGTTGGTGTTATATTGTTGGTTGTTTGTTGTACTCTTTGTTCTTTCTTACATTGTTTGTTGTTGTGCTGTTTGTTATATATTGTTTGTTATTATCGTTGTTTGTTGGTTGAGTTGTTATTGTTATTATTGTTGTTTGTTGTTGTTGTCGCTATTATTTCCATTGTTGTTGTCTATATTTATGTTGTTGTTATTGTTGTTGATGATGTTGTTGGTTGTTGCTATTGTTGGTTGTTGCTATTGTTGGTTGTTGTTGTTGTTGTTGTTGTTGTTG